CTGGGACCCGGGTCTGAGGGAGGGGCTGGGGGCCTGGGTCTGGGGGAGAAGGGCTGGGGGCCTGGGACCCGGGTCCGAGGGAGGGGCTGGGGGCCTGGGTCTCAGGGAGGGGGCTGCGGGCCGGGGCCTGGACCCCGGTTCAGCTGCACGCCGGCCTCACCGTCGGGGCGGATGGCCAGGGGCTCGCTGCGCGGGGACAGCACGTAGGGCGCCGAGGGCGTGTGGTAGTAGCAGCTGTAGGTGCCGGCGGCGCGGGCGCCCAGCGCGAAGTCGGCCCAGGGCTGCGCGGAGCGGCGGTACTGCAGCGGCGTCGCCCGGCCCTCGAGGTACAGCGCGAAGCTCATGCCCCGCGGGCCGCCCGAGCAGCGCAGCGTGAGCGGGGCGCCGGGCAGAGCCTCCAGCCCGGGCTGCGGCAGCTCGTCTGCGGGGACGCGGGGGCTGGGCTGCCCGCGCCTCCCGCTGGCCCCCCTCCTTCTCTCCCGAGCAGTGGGTCCGTGCCGCCCCCTTCTCTGCGCACCCCCCTCGGCTTCTCCGTCTGTGTCCCTGTGGCCCCGCCCTGTGCCTCCCGCGCTAAACTTCTGTCTCTGTTTTTATCTCCCCCTGGATCTCACAGGCAGCGTCTTCTCAGTTCTTCTCCTTGTGCTAAGGTGTCTCTCCTAGGACTTCCCAGCTTTGGCGTTAGGGACATTTGGGATAAATCTGGGAAATTATTTGTTACGTGGGGTGGGAGCAGGGTCCGTCCTGTGCATTATAGGATGTTTTCTCAGGATCTCTGGCCTGTACCTATTGGATGCCAGCAGCCCTTTCTCAGTTGTGACAACCAAAAATGTCTGGAGATATTGCTGGAGATCACCTCGTGGGCACGGTGGGCCCTGGGAGACTCACACCTGCTTCTCTGGTTCATTCTCTCTCTCTCTGTAAATCTTTTTTTCTGTGTTGCTGTGCCAGTCTGTGTATATCTCTCCCTGTGTCCCTCTGTCCCTCCCACACCCCGCCCACCCCTATGCCCCCTCTCCTTCCTGGCCCGAAGGACCTCACCTGTCACCAGTAGTTCCACAGTATTGCTCGGGGGGGACCAGACACCCAGCTCCCATCCAGGCCTCTGGTAGCAGCAGTGGTAACTGCCCCCCTGGGCAGGGGTCACCTCCTCCAGGAAGAACTCTGCCAGCTCCACGGACACATTCTGCTCCAGCACTTGGGGGATCTCTCCAGACTTGAAGAGCACAAACTTCCAGGCAGGTTGGGGCGCCAGACACTTCAAGGTCACATTGACCCCAGGGGCTACAACTTCAGCTGGCTGAGCCCCCAGCAAAGGCTTGCGGTATGAGGCTGGGGGGGCTGAAGAAATGGGGCTGCCTGGGTCTTCAGACCTCCTGGGAGCCCAAGGGGATGAAAGGGAAGCTAGGCTAAGGAGAGAATTACTTGGGGGCAATCACGGCCTTGTTCTCAGCCTCAGTTCCCTGTTTGTAAAACAGGGGAGGTGCTGAATCACAAGCAAGGTTTGTCAAAAACAGATGCAAATCAGATGCACCGGGCATCAACTCCTCAACTTTACAACACAGCTTTTAAACATAGTGTCAAAGGGTTGGGTCCCAGAAATCTGCTATTTTAAATTGCTCTCCAGAATATTTGTATCATATTCAAAATATTTCAATATATGCCAAAACTCGCTGTCTATTTGGAAGAATAAAAAAATATTTGATCCCTAACTCATACCATTCCCCCAAACCAATTCCAGATAAATGAAACACATGCTTGAATTAAAGTATAATTATTTAAAACTAAAAAGGTATTAGAAGAAAATATAGGATAATATATTTGTCGGGGTTAGAGAAGCTGGTCATAAAATATAAAATGAAACCTTCAAAAAGGACGAAGTTGATATATTTGACCACTTCAAAATTTTAAAGTTGTGTATGAGAAAAGGCAAATAAACGCAGCTAGAAGACAAGCGCCAGCACTGGCAAAATGACTTACTCATAAATCACGTAGATTAAGAGTACAGGGAGAAACCCAAGAGCCAACCCAGTCAGAAACTGGGCAAAACATACGAACAGGCAATTCACAGATGAAGTCCAGTTGACCGAAACACATTGAGGCAGGGGTGAAAGTTACTCAACCTTAGTAGTAATCATTTAAAAAAATTGAAACACCAGGAAGACTTTTTTTCGCCTATCAGGTTGTCAAAAATTGAAACAATGGCCAGTATTCCGTTTGAGTGAAGATGTTATGAAACAGGACTTGGTCCGCTAGAGGGCACCTTTAGAGAAGGCAGTTTGTCAGTTTCTATCAAGACACACAAAGGACATGACCGACAACCCAGTGGCTCCACTGCTCTACCCCAGACCAGTGCACCTACATGAGCCCAAAAAACTCACACAGGAGAACTCACCGCAGTACGTGAGGTGGACAGCTGGAAACAACCTAAATATACATCGAGAGCCCAATGCAATGGTAATATTAGCAGCGAACGTAAAGCTAGTTATGGTGACACAGGAACATCTCCAAGAGAGATGGTAAAGTGATAAAAACAAGCTGCAGATCGGTGTGAGTCATGAAATGTCAGTTTTGCTTTGGCAAGAAAATAAAAAAGTATATAAGTATGTATATATGTTTGAATGCATGGAAACTTTTTGTCAGGATTCAGAGATGATTTAAGGAAGAGGAGAGAGGGGAAGAAAGAGGCTGTTACATATCCTTTGGTTATGATTCATTTTTAAAACCATGAATATATGTTAGCTTTATCATTTATACATAACAATAAAAATAACTTGATAGCTAAGGTATCAGTGATTCCCCAGATGAGTCCTATTTGACGTTGGAGTGTCATGGAGGGAGGTTTGAGAGAAAGAGGTCTCACCCAGCAGAAAACCTGGGAAGAAAACCAGGGCTCTCTCAGGGTGGAGGATCCTACTTTCACGGAAAGGGAGTTGCAAAGGGAATACCTGGCATTGCCAGAAATCCCATGTCCCAAGCCCTGTACTGTGCCAAGCTGTCAGTTTTACATGTGATTTTATTAATCCTCACAACAGCCCATTTCACAGAGAGGGAAACTATGTAGCAAACAGTGGTTTGCTGGAAGTTGTAAATGAGGGAGAGAAGGAGGGAAAGAAAAAAGGAAGGAAGGAAGGCACGGAGAGAGAAAAACAAGGAAATCTGAGATGAGGTTGGGCACCAAAATAAAATCCGAGCGGTTGGAAATGGGATGGTGGCATACAGGAGAACAGTCGGGAGATGTTACTCACCAGTTAGAGTCCTGTCTGCACAACACAGAGGCCCTGTAGAAAGTTGAGGGGGCTAGGTGTTTTCAAAGCCCTAGGCTGCTCCCAGCCCCACGTCCTTGGGAATCCAGGAATCTTGGTCCCCTGGCCCTCTTTCCTCTGGGAAACAGGAATCTTACCCGTATGTCTTCCTCTCTTTCACTAGCCATAAACTCACACTTCCAATCCCCAGCTACTTAAGAAACTAGAAGTCTGGCCCCAGCCTCCTCTTGTCTCTAACCCAAAGAATTCAGGCCCCTGGACCCCACCCACATTTCCAAGGGACAATAATCTGACCCAAGCTTCTCTTCCCTGTGGTTCAGGAGTTCCAGCTCCCTCCCTTCCCAGAGACCCAGGAGTCCTGGCTTCCACCCCACTCCCATAGCAGAATCTAGGATACTCCCTGTCCACAGGAGTTCAGGTCCCTAGCCCCTCCCACCTCAAGATCCAGAGACTCCTGCCCCCACTCCTGCCTTTCCCAGGAACCCCGTGTCCTGTGTCCTCCTGCTTTAGGACCCAAGGGTCTGGGCCCCAGTCCTGTCCTCTTATTCTGGTCTTGAATTCCAAACCTTCAGCCCGTGCAGCCTAATCACCCTGCACTTGCCCCCGGGGAGACCCGATAGTCTTGTCCCTTGCTCTCTCCCCACTCAGGTGTCTAGGTGCCCAGAGGCTGGCTGTCTGCACCAGCTTGGCCAGGGACCCAGAGAGAAGGTGCTGGAGTGGCTCACAGAGGGTCAGCAGCTGGAGGGCCAGCACCACGGCCATGCTGAGCAGATGTCGGCTGCAGAGGGAGCAGGAACTGGGCTCACCCATACCCTCTCCCCTCCCAGGAAATGAAGCAACGTCAGAAAGCTAGAAGCAGAGCCTTGTTTAGGGAAGGGAGGAGTGAGGTGGGGCCTTTGGGTGACTGTGTCACAGCCCCATGGTGCTGTGGAAAAAGTTGAGAGGTGGTCATCAGAACTGCTTGTATTCATTAATGAAGCCTAAAAAAAAAAAAAATAGCACCAGTCATGGCCAGACCCGGAGGTGTGTGATTCTGGGGGCAGAGAGAGGAGTCAGACCCCATTTGCCCTCAAGCAGCTGAAGGAAAGACTGACGCATGCTGGGTCAGTTAAAAGAAAAAATGATCTGAGCTGTAATAGAGGTCACATAGCGAGGGCACTGTGAGAGCCCACAGAAGGCCCCCATCCCTCCTGGGATGAGAGTTACGGCTTCCAGGACAACTGATTTTTGAGCTGCGACCTCAAATTATGATGGATCAGTAATTCTTCCTCTCCCAGTCTCCGTTCTCCATGTGCAAAAACTACAAAATGAGGAGTATTGCATTCCGCCATAAGTGGGTTGTAGCAGGAGGACTGGGCATTACTGCAACAGGGCGACTCCTAGGCTGAGAGAGAAAGAACAGCGGCCTCAAGAGGGCAGGCAGGTTTGTACATCCACCTGCAACGCCCGCTCCTTTCCAGCAGCCGCCGTGTACACCTGTTCTGCGGCACTGCGCACGCGCGACTCACGGAGCGGCGGCTCTTCCGCAGGGACCACAACTCCTAGAGGACTCCACGTCCTCGTCACCGCATTGGACACCTGCTCTGCGCAGTGCGCACGCGCAGCTCGAGTCGCTGCAGCTCGCCCGCAGGGACCACAACTCCCAGAGTGCCCTGCGCCGCCGCCGCCGCCGCCAGGACGAAGATGGCCGGGAGTAAGTGCCGGCGTCTCGTGCTGGCGGGGCGCGGGTAGTTCTGGGGATCCTGGGGTGGTGCCAAGGATGGAGCACGGCTGAGCCCGCGCGGAGCCGGTGGGCTCCGGGTCGGCGGGGGGCGCAGAGGTCACGAGAGGACTCCGACGGGGAGGGGGTACCGCAAGAGAGTTAGAGGTCACGGGGGCATCCCCCTGCAGGGGTGACCCTCCCCTCTCCCTCCTCCAGGACTCGCTGCCTTCCTCAAGAACACCTGGGCCAAGGAGCCGGTGCTGGTCGCGTCCTTCACCATCGCGGGCCTCGGTGCGTGCATCATCCCCACCCGGGGTCCCAGCTATATTTCCCTCCCCGCCCCAAGGGTCCCGTCGGCCCCCGCTAGCGTCCTGCCCCCGAGGCCCCTTCTCCGCCTTGAACGTCTGTGCCCCTACCGCTGTGTCAACACCCCCACGACGTCCCCTTTGCGTCCCCCCATCCCTAATGTTACGACCCGTCACCGCCACCATCCCTCCCCACCCTAGAGATCCACAATCCTCCGTAAAGGAGAGATTCTCAACCCTGGCTGTGCATTTAAAACGCCTGAGCGGGAAAAATAAAATGTCCACATCCTCCCCCGCTTCCGCACTGCTCCGGCCCGGATGGTGGATTGACCTGGGTGCGGCGGAAGAGGGGCTGGGGAATCTATCTTGTAAAATCCCCCAGTGATTCTAGTATCCTACTCCGATTGAGGCCTCCTGGAGGTGCAGGCCTCTAGAAATGTTTGGAGATACCAAGGGAAATACGTTTTAAAAATTAATTTGTATTTTTTAGCTTTGTTTTTAAAGTGGCTATTAGAACGTGTAAAATGACGTAGGTGCTCATACATTTCTGCTGGGCAGTGCTGGCCTAGAATATTCCTTTATGCGCCCTAGCCCATATGCAGGACTCCTGGCACCCACTCTAGATGGACTGTATTTTCTCAGTGACTGTACCTTGTACAGCCCCGTCCCTGTTTGTAGCAGTTTGTAAGTCCTCTGGAACATTCCCAAGATGCTCCCCTTTTCCCCTTTCCCTCCATGCTCCATAACCACTCCAAACTCAGGGGACCCATTCCATGACCAGCCCACTCTGCCCTCTAGGTCCCATGTACCCCTGAGTTCTTGGCTCGCAGCCTCTCCTCCAAAAGATCTATAAACCCTGCTGATAAAGGAGGACTCCTGGGTGCCAAGGGGCCCTGCATAGCAAAGGGGCCTCCTGGGGGTGCGGAACTCCCTGCTCAGCGCCCCCTGCCTTGACCCCCCCACTTGGCCAAGGTTCGGCTTCTGCCCCCTTCCCCTGCTCCCCGTCAGCCACCTTCCCCTGGGCCTCACCCCTGTGTCTCTTTTCTCCACAGCTATAATTCTGCCCCTCATCAGCCCCTTCACCAAGTACTCTGTCATGATCAACCAGGCCACACCCTACAACTACCCGGGTGAGTGGGAGCTGGGTGGGGGCTGGCTGGGACCTCCCTGTGCTGGGGGAGGAACACTTAGGGGCAGGGACCCGAGGCGGTGCAGTGGTCTGCGCTTTCTCTCGTCTTATCTGAAATATAATCCACATGCTGTGAAATCCACGTCCTGTCCGTCTTGGCCCTTGGGGCTTTTGTCCGTCCAGTTCTCTGTCTTGGTCTCTGTCCTGTGTCCTCATCTCTCTCTCCGTGTCCCGAGTCGGACCCTGGTCCCCATGCCCCTGGGTCTCTCTCGTTGCTCTCCTCTGCATCCCTGACTCTAACCACTCCTCTCGCCTCTCCCCTGGGGTCCTGTTTCCCTCTTTGAATGTAAGTGACAGGTTAGCCCTTCCCTGGGGGCCCCGGAGATCTGGCCTCAGTGGCCCACCTCCCTGCCCTGCAGTGCCCCTCCGAGATGATGGGAGCATGCCCGATGTGCCCAGCCACCCCCAGGACCCGCAGGGCCCAAGCTTGGAGTGGCTGAAGAAACTGTGAGCACGTCCAGTGACAGGTGGAGGCCCCCTCTCCTGTGGCCAATAAACCCGTGAAAGCTGACCCCAGTCCACGTGTGTGTGTGTGTGTGTGGTCGGAAGCAGAAACAGTAGACAGCTGCCCAGGGGAGTCGGGTCAGGTTTACTGGGTGGGTGGGGAATCAGTCAAAGGGAGGGCTGGCTAGGGTCGGGTAGGGCAGCAGTTTGTCTGGCCCCTGAGAAACCCAGCTGGAGTCCAGGGTCTCATCTGCTTCGAAGCCGAAGTCATCCTCGACCTTGATCTGGAGGAGGGAAGGAGCAGGTGTGAGGCCGGGAACCCAGAGGAGGCCCGTCGGCCTCACCTCTCTGCCTTCCGAGACACTGTTCTCCGCGGCCCTTGAGGAAAGCCCTGGTGTGCCCGCGGCCTCCCCTCGCCCTACCACCCTTGCTCTCTGCTCCTCGCGTGCTCCCTGCTCTCCGCAGCCAGTCTGCTGTCCCCAAGGCCTCCTCTGGGTCTCCCTTTCCCACCCAAGCCCTCGCCCAGCCTTCACTAGTCTCTCCTTCCCTGCCCTTCCTGCCTCACCTCCTCTCTCCACCCACCCTGCCCTGAGCCCGGGTACACTGCAGGGTCAGACCTCCTTGCAGCGGGGCTCAGCCACGACACCCAGGGGCTGCCAGGCCTGGCCTCCCACCTGCACTGGGGCCAGTTCTGGAGTCTGCGCAGCTCCCGTCCGGCGTCCGTCCCGGGGCACGCGCCGCCGCCGCCGCCCACTGGGCCCCTCACCGGGGGCCGGGCTGCTGGGTTCAGGAGGTGCGGGCATCCTTCTGGGCGGGGATAGCCCCTCTTTCTCTGGAGGTTCGTTCTCGGCATTGCCTGGGGTGGGGGCCTCTGTGCCCTGGCTGCCCTCATCCTGGCAGGGTGAGGGGAGGTGGGTGTGGGCCTGTCCTGGGCTCCCAGGCCGCCCGCCCAGACCCTGTGCTCACCTCCAGCACGATGGTGAACTGGCTGGCGCGGTAGTCATCGCCATAGGAGTCCAGCACTTTCATGAGGAACCTGTGCCCAGAGACAGGCCACCAGGGGCATAGCTTGAGCCTCCAGTGGTTGGGGCAAGGGGCACCCGGCAGCTCGGCTTTGGCTGAAGCCAGGGCTGTCCTGGACTCAGAAGGTTCCGATCTCCGAGTCTGAGAGCCCTGGGTGCCACGCACTTGGGCAGCCAGTGGGACTAAGGGCCAGACAGGTGGCTTTCTGCACCCCAGCAGCAGTCAGCAGGAGATGACGATTCCGAAGAGGTGGGCTGTCGGGAGGGGGGCACCACAACTGGCTGGCACTCCCTCTCCAGGGCTTGGGGGGTGGGGCACCTGAGGTCAGCTGTTCAACCAGGGACAGAAGGGCAAGGGCGAGGTGGGCGCGGGCCCTGCGGCGGCTGCTGCCCTCTGCCCGCTGCCCCGGCTTCTATGAGCTTTTGGGTGTTTAAGGGCGTGAAGGCTGCCTGTGAGCCAGCTCCTGGCCGGGGCCCTTGCCCTGCGCGTCCTCTATTCTGTGAGCCCAAGTCAGCCCCTGCTCCAGGCCAGGCCACCCTGTGGGTGCGAGGATTCCCGGCAGCCAGGCAAAGACCCCTGCGCTTACTGAGCCCAGCCTGCAGGGAGACAGCCAGCCGGCAGCCTGCACACCACAGGGCAGAAAGGGCCTCGGCTGAAGCCTCACAAGGCGGTGGGGGCGGCCCCTCTGGGGCTGGGCAATGGCAGGGAAACGTTTCTGGCAGGAGGAACAGTGCGTGCCAAGGCCCGGGGGTCCTTATGGACTGTCGTGGGGTATTAACTCTCGCTGAGGCAGGTGGGACCCTGAGGTTTTGAGTGGAGGAGTGACTTGATCTAATATGTTGTTTTGTTGTATCTTTTACTTTTGAAAAAAATTACTTTTAAAAGTTGTGGTAAGATAGACACAACGTAAAATGTACCAATTGGACCATTTTTAAGAACACGGGTGAATGGCATTAAGCACATTCATGCTGTCGTGCGACCATGGCCGCGTCCGCCTCCAGGAGTCCTTCTGACTTCCCCAGCGAACTGTCCCCATTAACCACCAACACCCCGGCCGCTGCCTGGTGCCCGCCGTGTCCCTTCTGTCTCTGAGTTTAAGTGCCCCACGTCAGCGGGGTTGGGCTGTACCTGCCCTTGGCGGCTGGCCCGTTTCACCGAGCGTGCCGCCCTCACGGCTCACCTGTGCTCTAGCAGGCATCGGATTTTCCCTCCCTTTAAGGTTGGTAACTATCCGAGTGCACGCGCCACGCCTGGGTACGGGTTCACAGGTGGACACCTGCGTGCCTCCGCCTTCGGGCCGTTGTGGTCACACAGCTGATAACGTGGGCGTGGGGATCTGTGAGTGTCCCTGTTTTCAGTTCCTGGGTGGAGCCCCAGAAAAGGATTTGCTGGGTCCACGGTAATTCCCTTTTTAAGTTCCGGGGAGGTGCCGTACCGTTTTCCACAGTGACATGTCTTCCATTTTAAAAGGGCCTCTGGGCCACCCCTCTGGTTTGTTATAACAGTGGGTCTGGGGTGAGGCCTGAGAACATGGATTTGTGACAACTCCCAGGTGGTGCTGAGGCCACGGGTCCAGGGGCCCCTGGCTTGGGGAACCAGGGGCTGGGCTCCAGGTGGAGGTTCAGGAAGCAGAGTCACCCTGACCGGGCTGCAGTCAGTCATTAGGGGCAGCCCGGCACATGCAGATCCTTACACTCCCACATCTTCGATGTTTCAGCCGCAAAGGCCACCTCACCCCCATAAACTCTCTTGGTCCCACCATCAAATCAAACTTCAGCTATTGGAACAAATCAGGAAAAGGGTTCGCCCAAGCGGTTGTGACAGGCTTGGGGGTCGGGAGGTGCACGGGGATGGTCAGGGCCCAGCAGGAGGCAGGCAAGGGGCCTGAGAAGATGTCAGCCTCTGGCAGTATTTTGAGGGTGGGGGTGCCAGAAGCTGTGATGGGTCAGATGGGAGGATTTGTTCGCTCACGTGGGGCGGCCTGGCGGGAAAGATCACCTGGCAGGTGAGATAGCCAGAAGTCATCAGCACCCAGCAGGCCACTGGCAAAGGGCTCAGCCTTCAGGAGAGCTGTCGGCAGGGCTGGGGAGGGGGCAGTGTTCAGGTGGCCTCTTCACCGGGGGCTACGGGCGCCTTGGGGGGCACGTAGGGTGGCAGCATCCAGTGAACCTCCCCAGACAGAATGCCCTGGCTCATGCTGTCCACCATGGCGGCCACCAGCCACTCGGTATGTGGCATGAGTGACAACTGGGTTTGTGATGTCATTTATTCTCAATTTCAGTGTAAGTTGCCAAGTGTGCTACTGAGCACTCTGCGTGCAGCAAGCACGACGTGCAACCGAAGTTTTGTGTTTCATTTAATTTTGATCAGTTAAGATGACTTGCTATGTCAGCTACGGAGCGCGTGGAATGCGGTGAGTGCCACGGCGGGACTGAGCTTCCCATGTCACCTCATTTTACTTTTGTGGCTGTTGAGCACTTGAGTGGCTAGAGCCACTGAAGAAGTGAAATTTCAATTCATTTTAACAAACTAAGATAGTTCGATGAATGTTCAATACTCAGTTCTAACAAGTTTCAGTGAAAGTGTGACCACCATACTGGACAGCACAGGTGCGGAGAGGTGGGGACACAGGCATCGGGCCCTGGCTACTGTGGGTCAAGGGATGGGAGGATGAACCAGGAAAGTGGCCAAAAAGGAATGGCCAGGAGGCAGGAACCTCAGTGGGCGAGTGACCCGGATGCCGGGAAGGGGCCTCAGAGAAGGTGCACTGATGGCTCACGTGAGCGGAAGGCTGATGCCTGGCCTGGGGCTTGGTTTCCTGGGGCCGTCACCACGAGGCCCCTTCTCCACTTCATGGAGGTGGGCATGTGGTGTACGGTGGGCAGGCCCCAGAGCCCCCCTGTCATGGTGACCCTGTGGGGCAGTCAGCAGATGTTTCTGGAGCATGGATGGGCTGGGCTCATCCCCTGTGAGCTCCGGTTCACCCTCAGCAGCCTGGTGATTTGGGCATTACTCTCAGTTGACAGGCAACTGGGCTCAGAGAGGATGTTGCTTGCTCAGGGTTACACAGCGCAAGTGCTTGAAACGGAGCCTGGGCTCTGTTTGTTGTCCTTCTTGCTCGCTGTCCACTTAGAGGGGGCACAGCCACCATCCCCAGGCCTGCGTGTGGCTCTGACTGGCAAGGCCCAGTCCCACTCCTGGCCTGAGGGCCCGGCAGACGGGCAGGGGCGTGCAAGGCTTACCTGCGCTCCTGCTGGAGCCTCCGCGTTATCCTTTGGACCTGATGGAGCCTGTTCAGGACGCGCTCGTTCACCTGCGGGGAGGGGAGAACGCTGGGTCTGTCGGACCTCACTGTCATTTACTGGGCGGACAGTGAGCCCCTGCTGTGCCCCGGGAGCCTCCCAGGCAGGTCTGCTCCTCCCCTACCCGCCCCTCCTCCATGCCTCCGGGACTGCGAGCTGACCTGGGGCCCCAGCCCTGTCCTGCCCCCGGGGGCTTTCTGTGTGTTCACAGCTCAGGGAGTCATCCCAACCCCCCAGTGAACCGCGAGCCCCCTCCTCCCACCTGAACCCCACCGGCATCCCCTCCTCGCAGCTCCCGGCTTCCTCTTCCCCGCCTTGCCCAGCATCCTGTCTGCTCCCGCCGCTCCCGTCTGTCTCCCCCACCAGAACATGAGCTCCACAGGGTGGGGATTTGTGCCTGGGTCCCCTGTGCCTTGAGCAAAGCCTGGCAGAGTGGATGCTCCCAAAACATCTGCTGACTGTGTGAGTTTGCTCAGCGACGAAGGGCACCGCGCAGGCTGAGCCGCAGGGGACAGGAGTGCCCCTAGGTCAGACACCCCCAGGTTCAAGTCCTGGCCTGCTGCTGCTTCGCTGTGTGACCTTGGGCACCCTGACCCTCAGCTTTCCGCATATGTAGAATGGTTATAATAACAAGACCTATTCCTGGGTGGGAATACTAAGGGCAGAAGTTCACATGTGCCATGTGAACAAATGACTGGGTCCCTTTGGACACCAGCTCCCATCTGTTAAACAGGCGCTGCTGCTAAGGGGTGGAGAGTGCAGGGAGCAGGGCGGAGCGACCTAGAGGCCCCGTGCTGAAGCCCCCAGGGCAGGCCCGGCACCAGGGTGCTCACAGGTCAGAGCTGCTCCGACAGCACACCCCGTACGGACAGCCCTGTGACCGCAGGATGCAGGCGGGGAGGTGTCACTGCTTCTGGGGGAAGGAAGGGATCCACGTGAGTCCTGCAAACACCAGGGAGGAGAGACAGGAGTGGCCGCAGAGGGAAGAGAGATGGGTGTGCTGGAGCTGGGGTGACAGGCGCGCAGTACCCAGTTCACGTGGTCCCCTCGGGCCTGTCTGCCACTGCTTTGTATCTACACACGTGTAGTGGTGCCGCGAGCACCCAGGCAGCTGTCACCAGGCGCACGCACCCATTTGTTGGCCACAAGGTACACACACGTTCAAGCCTTAGCGCAGCTCCCGGGGAATAGGTCTTAATCCTTGGGGCCAAGCCTGCCCCAGGCACCCCCAGGCTCATGCTGCCCTCACCCCCACATCTGAGGCTGTTTCCCATGCAGCCTCCCCAGGCCCTGGTAGACCCTGAGCCACGCAGAGACCTTCCCCCAGCCCGTCTCTCTCCTGCCAGTGGCCGGCTCCCACCCACCCTGCATCTTCCCTATTAGACCATGCACTTGTCCCCTCCCCTCCATCCTGACTTCCACCCCAGGCCTCAGGCCTCACCTTCTCCTGCCTGGACCCTTCCGTCAGCTTACCCCTTGGGGGTCAAATGGTGCCCCTCAACAAAGCTGTGTTGGATTCCTGACCCCAGGACCTCAGGATGTGACCTGATTTGGACACAGGGTCTTCACGGAGGTAATCAAGTATAGTGATTGGGGTGGATTCCAATCAGATAGGATGGTGTCCTTACAGAAAGGGGAAACTGGGACACACATGGAGAATGCCACGTGCAAATGAAGGCAGAAACAGGCCAGCCTGGGAGCACCGACTGCTGGCCAACACCCCCAGCAAGGGAGCGGCACAGAGCAGCTCTCCCTCCCAGCCTCAGGAGGAGCCGGGCCAGCCTGCACCTTCATCTCGGATCGCTGGCCCCCAGAACCGGGAGAAAGTACCTTCCTGTTACGGAGCCACCCAGTTTGGGGTTCTTGGTTACCCCAGGCCTAGGGAACTGAACCACCCACACCTGACCCCGCCCTCCCTTGTCTGAAACCTTCCCAGGCCTTCCCCTCACTAAACCAACGAGAAATCCAAACTTCAGGTCCCATGTTGGAGGCCCTTCAAGACCTGGTTCCTGCCTCATTCTCAACAGAGGCTACGGCAGAGTCCGAGTCCGAGTCTGGGGCCTCCACCACGGGAAGCGAGGGCAGAGGACCCAAGGGACACTCAGGGCGCAGAAAGCCGCTGAGCTCAGGGGAAGGAAAAGGAAGGCCGAGTGTGATCAGTGGAGAACGTGAGAGGCTGCTACGTACCCGCAGGCTGACTGGGTGCCAGGAAGCTCCTGGAGGAGGCAGCCCTCCAGTGCCTTGCGCGGTGCCCAGCGCAGAAACAGCGCAGAACAAATGAATAGCGACGAGTAAATGAACAGAAGCTCCACTGGGTTTAGCAAGGCAGGCTGGGCGTGTGACAGGCGGAGTGGAGGGGGTGGCCCTCTAGGTCCGGGGGCGCCGGGAGGCGGAACCCGCACTCACATACCTGCTCGATCTCCCGGCAGCGCCGGCCTAGCGCCTGGTACTTCCTGCGATTTAGTTCCCGCTGGCGCCGCCGCTGGCCCCGGGCTGCCTCTTCCTCTTCATCTCGCTCCCGAAGCCCCGAGCCGCCCAGACCCCCGGACACGAACTCCACCTCGGTCTCAAGCTCGCTCTCGAGGATGTGGCCACCGAACAGCGGGGGCAGCGCCAAGTCTGAGCCTGGTGGTGCTGAGAACTCTTCAAAGCCCACGGCTGCCATGGTCCTGTAAGGTCAGGGGGCTCAGGGATCCTGAATCCCCGGCCCCCAGCCCCTCCGCCCTCAGACCCAGAAGTCCAGGCCCCCAGCCCCTCTTTCCCAGAATCCATTAGTCAAGACCTCCAGACTTTTCCTCCCAGAGGGCCCCAGAGAGTCAAGCTGCTAACGCCCCATTCAGACCCAGGAGTCCAGGCCTCCAACCTCTTCGTTTCAGATCCAGGAGCCTCGGGCCCGCAGCCTTCTCCCCCAGGATGCTCGAGTACGGACCCCAGTTCCTAAGAAGCCAAAGCAGCTACAGGAACTACAATGCCCATCAGCCCTTCGGGTAAAAGCACATAGGGCCGCGCCTTGTGCGACCGCAGTGTCTCTTGGGATTCGTAGTTTCCCCCAACGCCACTTACCCTTCTCTCTGCTCCAGTTCCATCTCTTTCCCGTGTGGGAGCCCCAGGCCTTGGGGCTTCCGACCTCGCAAACCTCAGCGTAAGGGGTCCGCAAAACTACCAGTCCCGTCCGGCCTCCCGGTCACAACTCCCGGCGCTTGGCCGCTACGCCCTCTCGGAGTCGTAGTTCCCTATTTCCGACACCACTCCGTACCCATTCCGCCTTCACCCCGAGACCCGGCTTAAAGGCTTTGCGTCCTGGTCCAGAGCCTCCGCCAGTCGTCCGAGTTGCCCCCGTCTTTCTTCTTATCTAGACCCCCTCTCATCCGACTACGGCGATCCTCCGCTTGGCAGGCTCAGTCCTGGGCGGGCCGCGAGCCCCATCACTCCGCTCTCTTCTCCCGCTCACCCCTCTTTGCCTGGAGGCCGCTGCTAATAAAGTTGTTGTTCCAAACGGCACGAGGAGCGACCCGGGGCGGGGACCAATCAGAGCGCAGCTCTGCCTCCGCGACTGCGCGAGGGTGAGACGGCATCAGTGTGCGTCGGCCACGGCGGGGAAGCTGCTCTCCTAGAAACGGCGGTGCGAGGAGGGAAGAGGTGAGTGTGGTGGAGCCGAGGGGAGGACGCCGGGCCAGGTGCCGGGGTCGGGGCAGGGCGAGTGTAAGGCGGACCTTAACGGACTTGGCACTCACGGGGCGTCTGTGCTCCTGCGATGCTCGGGCGCTCCGCGAGAGCAAGCATTGTTCCCCGCCCCTCCTAGCGCTTTGCTTGGTGCCTGCGGACACAGGCTTCATCGAGAAAATGCGTGAAGCGCCTCGGGTGTGTATCAGGGCGCTCGGGGTGTATATCACCAGGCAGCTTATCTAGTCCGCAGTGGGGTGCATGGGTTAAGGAGCTGAGGAGGTGGTGAGCCAGTAAAACGCGAGGGGAGGAAGGCCCAGAGCGGGAAGAAGCTGGGAAGCGAAAGAAATGTGACAAGGACTTGTGGGCGAGGGGGACAGTTGGCGGAGGTGCAGCTCCAGAGGTTGGCTGGAATCAAGCGAGCTCATCGTGCCTACCGTGCGCCAGGGGCTGTGCTGGGCGTTGGGGATAGTGGCCGGTGAACAAAATGGACACGGTTGCTGTTCTCGCAGAAAGTTTCGCTTAATGGGGAAATAAAACAAAATAGGAGAAATTGAGAGAATCTTAAGCATAGAGGTGAATAAGATGTATAATAGCGGGATAGGATCCAGACCGGGGGTCAGAGATCTGCACTGCAAGAAATAAGGTTTATGCCCCTACCTGAGGGACAAAAAGATAACGTATTTGGAGAACTGGAGAAAGAAGACAAGAATAAGCTGGGTATAAGGGATAAATAAAAGTGTTCATTCATTTGTCACATTTTTCTTAAATGCTTACTCTGTGCTAGACATTCTGCCAGAGGATGGGAATATAGCAGTGAACAGACAGATATGGCCCCCAATTTGGCTTACAGTTTAGTGGGGAAACAGAAGGGGGGATAAGCAGAGGGACTTGTCTGATACGTGGGGAGGGAGGTTACGTTCCATAAAGAAGGGAAGAGGCCCTCTTGTTCAGAGAAGGTGAGAGGGGGAGGAAGTTTAGGGAACGGCGCCCGTGAGGTCACACAGGTGCATTTACGAGGAAGAGCTGTGTCTTAGAGAAGTGAGTGCAAACGGGACACTGAGCCTTAGGGGGACAGGGGGATCTGAAAGGGACAGAGCTCATAGACAGCTGGACACGCGGGGCTCCCAGACTGGCTCTCTGGGCCAGCTGTGTCCTGTAATCTGTTTGGTTTGGCCTGTGCCTGGGTGGTTGGTTTGATTTAAATTATCCATTCAGGTAATAAAAATGAAACTTTTCAAACTGGGAGATTCCACGTAAAATCATGAATTTTTTACTTCTCTTGGAAAAAAAAAAAAACCAGGCAACCACATGCTCCCACTGGCAATGCATGTGTGCAGCTGCGCGTGGTGGCACGTTTGCGATGGGCACGAGCCCTGTTTCTGTGGGCTCTGCTCCTCCCTGTTGCCCAGACCCGAATGAGCTTGGCTCACTAAGCCACCCCCGCCACCCCCTCAGCCCCTGTGGGCGTTGGAGTTTGCAACCTCTGTCTTTATACTTTAGAGGAGGGTGTGTAGAAGGCAAGGGAATGAGGAAGGGCATGTTTTATGGGAAGAGAAAGGAAAAGGAAGAGAGGAGGTTTCTTATTTTTTCAGAAAAGTGCTGGGGCTGTGTCTTGTTGAGTACTGCTTCCCATCCACTTTCACTTCATGGGACTCACAAAATACAAATATTTGTCCAGCAGCTGGGGAAGATGAGGCTGCTCGTGGTGCACGGTGATTGGCTGGGGGCTGTAGGCATTTTAGGCTCTGCCTGGTGGCTCTGATGGTTGAGGAGATAGTATTTTAGGGTATTTGTCACCCACTTGGGGCCCAACAATTGGGGGGGAGGGACCTTGGTTTGAAGAAATGAGTTGTGAGGAGAGGTCACATCTCATCGCGGGGAGGACGTGTCTTTTAGGGCAAGAGGTGGTGGCAAGGAGGGTGTGCTGTGTCTGGCACAGTGAAGTGGGAGGGAAGGGCGGGTGGTGTGAGCTCTGACCCGAGGTTCTGGGTGTGTTCAAGGAGTAGCTCAGCAGGTATTGATTGAGCACCTGTCCCGGGCACAGTTAGAAGATGGGGAACAAAGCACATACCTGTCCTGCGGAGCCTGCGTGCTAGCGGGTTGATGGAGAAGGACCAGGGCCTTCTGGGGGAGACGCCTCCACTGGTAATGAGGGGGTCCTCGCCCTCCCTCCCCACAGGCCTCGGGATGTCTCTGGCAGATGAGCTCCTGGCTGATCTCGAGGAGGCGGCAGAGGAGGAGGAAGGAGGAAGCTATGGGGAGGAAGAAGAGGAGCCAGCGATCGAGGACGTGCAGGAGGAGACACAGCTGGACCTCTCCGGGGACTCGGTCAAGAGCATAGCCAAGCTGTGGGACAGCAAGATGGTCAGTGGGCTGTGAGCAGGGGCTCCCGACGTGGGTGACGTAGCAGACGCGCCGCCTCCTGAGGCGTCCCCGGTGCTGACTCCCCTGCCCCCTCCTCCTCAGTTCGCTGAGATCATGATGAAGATCGAGGAATATATCAGCAAGCAAGCCAAGGCTTCGGAAGGTACCTTCTCCCTCCCGCCCGCCAGCTCCCAGCCTGCTCTTCCGCAGCCAGGCCCCTCGGCCCTGCTGTGTGTGCATCCGTCTCAGCCTCTTCCGGAGACCCCCTCTCCTCTCCCGTCCCCACCCAGCCCCTGCTCCCGAGAACCAGCACGTCATAGGCCGGCGCTCCTGCACTTCTCTGTGCTGAGCGCTTACTAATCACGCTGGGACTCGCCTCAAGGTGTCCCGGAATTCAGCGATTCACGGTACCACTTAAAGGGTTTGGCCACACGTGGAAACTGCTTCTCTTATTTACTTCACTTTTTCTTTTCATCAATTTATTATTTTTTTTCTTAAATTTACCTGAGAGGGAAAATTGTCCTTTCTGTGAATGGAAAACTGGTATTGCTTGGTGAATAGAAAGTAACCATCAAACCCTTATTAAAGCACCACCTACGACCTCTTCCCACTCCAGCTTTGGGAAGCGCTGGGGTATCTACTGCATACTCTGCCCAGCTCATGATACCCCCATTCTTCTTTTCATGGGGGGCTCCTGTCTGGACGCGGTTGGGCACAGGCATGTTGTAGTCAGAGAGCAGCTGCGGGGAGACTCACTCTTTCCTTCCTTTCAAGTTCTCCTGAGGCTCCCTGGGGCCGGCTGTGCGGGCCTCTGCTCCCCAAAGATCAGGGTCTGGCAGAGCCGACAGGCCAGGTCGCAGGCAGTTATTGGTGGGGGTACCTGTGGAGACTGAGGGAGCTCAGACACTGGGGAGCCGCAGAAGCGCCGGCTGGCCCTGCCTGCAGAGTCAGGGAAGAACTGATACCTGAACTGGGCTTGGAAACATGAATACTCAGAGGGGCTCATGCCAGGGAGAAGCTGCGTGTGGAAAGCTCGGAACATCTGGAGAGGCGCCAGGCACTGCGGGGTTTCGGATGCCAGGCCTGAGGGCTCATCCCAGACCGCTGTGGGGGGGCCATAAGTGGCGTTTCCTGGTTTAGGCCAGGCTCAGGGATCAGGGAAGACCTGGTCACACCGGGGAGGTGGACACAACACATCTCAGAATGGGGTGGCAGTCGTGTCTGGTGGGCGTGGCAGGCTTGCGTGGAGGCACCGAGGAGGCACCGATGCCCCTGGGGTGGGAGGGAGGGCTCTTGGGTGCCTCCTGGGCCTTCAGGACAGAGAGGCCCTTGAGCCTCAGGTCAGGAAGGCGGGTGCTGGGATCTGAACTCAGCTCTGCACGCTGCTGGCTCTGTGACATCAGACCACGTCCCACCTTTTCTTTCTGTGCAACATTGGCCTGATTGAACGCCAAGCTCCCTGGGTGGCCGTGGGTGAAGTCTAGCATGTAAGACACTTGGAACAGTGGTAGACGTGTGGTAAGCCCTGTACGTGTCAGCTACCGTGACTGCTGCTTGTGGTAGTCCTGTGGCCACTGTTACTAAAACCCAAAAGGAGTTTTCTAGGAACATACGTGAGGAAGGGATGTACCAGGGAGAGGGCGGCATAGGAAACACCCGAGAGGGGAGTGATGTAACCCCGTGTCAGTCCCCGTAAGCAGGTCTTAGGGCTGGAGTGTCATGAGATGGGGCGGTGAGGGGATGGGCCCGGGACCAGGCTGCCGAGGGGGGCGTCCAGTGGGTGTCCAGGGGCGGCCGCAGGAAGGAGACAGTCCTTGTCCTCACAGGGCTTCCAGTCTTTCGGGAGGCTTTGAAGGTCAGTCTGGGAGGCCTGAGCGTCAGCCAGGAGGGTTCAGTTCCAGGGTGAGACGGGGTCAGGTCCAGGCTGGAGGGAGAGGGGCGAGGCTTGCAGGCGGGTGAGCCCGTGCCCCGGTTCACCCACCGCCCCTCCTCCTGCTCCGCCGCAGTTGCTTCCCTGAGCTGGGGTCCGGGAAGCGTGGGCGCCGAGACACACACCCCAGGCGCCTTCTCCTCCTCACAGTGATGGGCCCCGTGGAGGCAGCCCCCGAATACCGTGTCATCGTGGACGCCAACAACCTGACGGTGGAGATTGAGAACGAGCTGAGTGAGTGCCGGGAGGGCCTGCCCACTGCCTGCCTGTGCCTGAGCGGGCCGGGCAGGATCCCAGGCCACAGCCTCTGCCAGTCCTCCCGGGGTCCTGCCCCCAGGCCCCTCATATTGGCATGGATCCAGACACAGCTGCTGTACCAGGGTGACTTCAGTAAGAGGGAAGGTATTTTCCTCTCATGTGGAAAGGAAGTCTGAACGAGGAGTCCTGGCCTGGTGCTAGGCTCTGTCTTGTTGGTCTGCGATCTGTTTCATGGTAC